GCCCCATGGGAATCATGTTATTGCCATTTTCCTATTTTGACTTTTTTGTTCCCTTTTTCATTTTTTCACGTAAGAGAAGGAGTTTACTGTCTCAACCAACTAGCTTAGATGTGACCTGAACTAACTGAGCCAGAATCAGAGAATTAGACAAAACCCCCTCCAATGGTAGATCCTACACCCAAAGTATGATTATAGATATGAGTACTTAACCAACCTGATTAATTCAATTCCGGGAAAAGGCTAAGTGCCCATTTGGCATTGCTTATTTAGAGTGATAAGTGATTTTTTAAAAATTTTGGGGAGTCCAGCCCGTTTGGTAAACTATGAGAGAATCACTTATTGTTAAAAATTGTTATGAGAGAAAGCAACTAATGAGGTGCTTTCATTTTCTGATTATGCAAGAATTAATTTTGAAATTGCGCTGAGTTTAATGATTATGCGGGAATTATTTTTTGATTATATAGGAATTAGTACGAACAACACTTTTAACAAAAAGTTTACCAAACGCCAAACTGCTTTCTTTTACAGCTGATTTCTCTCACAGAAAATCTGACAGCGATTATTTTCACAGCACAACAATGCCAAACTGAGACTTTTTCAATAGGTGCTGGGATATGGGAAAGTAGGCAAGGGATGATGCTAAACTAAAAGAAAAAAGAATGCCATTTAGACCGAAGTGCACCTTTCTCTTGGAATAGTTGCACCAGGACATCAACCATTGGACCAATGAATGGTGAGGTAGGTAGCTCTACCACTTCCGTAGGCGGCCGGAGGAGCTGAATAAGCAGCAGGATGAGGAGCAGCTAACCCAGCCGTAGACTTCAATGTAGAGGTTGGGAAACTATGTGCTACAGTCACAGCATAGCGCGTTATAGATGCCCTGGGGGCTTTCCAAGTTAAGCCAGGGTGATTGATTGTATTTGGGTCAGCGAATTAATACGGCCGCCAAATATGAAATATGGTTGGGAGCTGGGGAGATTGTTTGGATCTGGAAATTTCTTATACAAATCCACCTCAATTTGGATTTTCGACCTAACATGAAAATTCGGGCACGGTACTTTGCTCAATTGAGTTGAAAAGATGAAAACTGAAGAACCCCAGAAATTAGAATCAATATATAAATTACAGTTTACAGAGCCGGGGCATGTATTGGAGTTGTATAGGAAAGTGGTTTGTTATAAATATACAATTCCAAGCAGGAACTTTCATATCAAGTCATCTTTATGGGTCTTGTTGGTCTTCAAGGGAGCGCTTTCGAGCCCTGAGGTTGAGTTCCAGGCTTTGAGGCAGAGGAGGGCTTCTCCCGCGACGGAAAAGAACTGCAAGAGCTCTCATTTTCTGGCACAGATCGAATACCTACATTTTAAAGACAACCAAACCATTGTTACACTTTTGCAAAGCAAAACCATCATCCACCAATTTACAAATTTCTACTGCCAAATTTAAAGATGGCTCTCTGTTTCTTACTGATGAGGCCTCTATTTCTGCAACACCTTCACAACCTTGCCCGCCTCCTTGCAACAAGTCACAATACCTTACAGCTTCATTCTCATCCTCAAAAACCTGCAAATGCCATTGGAATGTGTGAATCATATGCAACCTTAGGTGAAGCCCGAGCTCAGAAGTCCTAGGAAATGAAACTTTCTATGCAACCAACAATTCATGCATTGAAGTCAATAGAAAAAGAAACAAAGATGCTTACAAGCACTCCATCCCTAATATCCTCCACAAGCATCTGGAACTTTGTACCGTTTCTTGGCTGCTTCGCTTGGTTCCACTTTGATCCTTTGGAAAACAATTTACCAAGCTCCGTTTCAACTTCACTGTCACATATAACCCACCAATATGTCACCAAACCTAGGGACTAATTCAGTCCACAAATAACAACAATTATGACCAATGAAGAGAAAAGGCGCACACACAGAGAAGAGCTGAGGAGGGAGACCTGCGATTTCTTCGGGTTTTCATGGTGCACAGCAGGTTTTCCCTTTGTGTTAGTACATACACAGGCTTGGAAGTTTCTCTCCAAGGGTTGGCCTCCAACACTGAACAAGAAAAGAGAAAGGGCAAAACAATGATCAAATAGATCAGTGACCAACACTCAACTCAACTGTATAACCACAAGTCTCAAACTCAATCAAAACTTGTACCCATAACTCTGTTTTTGCAACTCTTCATTTGCATATATAAATTTTGGAAATGATAATTGGTACAACACAAACAAACAGAGCATAGGTCATGTTTGAATCCAGTTAAGTTTCTATAACACTTTTAATAGTGAGATATCATATAGCATTCACCCAAAAAAAAATTTGAATCATGAATTTCAGAGGACATGAATAAGGGCAAAAACCAGGAACAAACAAATAAAAATAACTATGTCAATTAATTTATTGATCACGCATCAAAAACAGAGAGCAGGGAGAGTGCAAGGCAAGGAGGATAGCTCAAAATCTCAAACTCAACCAAAGCTTTCAAAGGAAATTGAAAATTCCGTACCATCGTAGCTGCTGGAATCGAAGGTCTGCTGGAGGTGGCGCCGCATGTCGTAAGCACGAGACGACACGCGTTTCACGAACTCATCGGAAGTGGAGGGAATATTACCATCCAGATGAAGCGCTCTCTCCACCTGCTCACTTCCGTCGTCATCGGCGTCGGCGTCGGCGTCGGCGTCCTCTGGGGCAGCGCCACCGCCACCGCTCGACCGGCAAGAAACTTCTCTCACGAGCCTCCTTCTAGAATAAGACGAAGTCTCGGGAGAGCACGGCACTCCAATGACGGAGGAGGAGATGTAGAGATTCCGATTGTGTAAGCTGCCGAGTGAAGAAGAAGGGAGGGGGAGCCGGCGGCGCCGTGGACGGAGAGGGTTGGTGACTGCGGAGGGTAAGACTTTTACCGATGAGAGAGAATCCATGGCGGGCTTGACCTTGGGGGTAAAATTAATAAAATTTGAAAATAAATAGGGTGCAAATTGCAATTACGTTTGGGTCTCTCCAATCTGTGTGTTGCTTGGGTGGTGGTTGGAATCTCTGAATGAATCTGCGGATATTTTTTTCCCCAGTCTTGGAGCTCTGTCTGTGGTGGTGGGGCCGGGAGAATTGGGCCTGTGAAATAGACGGGTCTTCTAACTCCGACCCATCATTTTTTATGCCCTTTTATTATTTTTTAAAAGGGAATTATTTTTATTACTAATTTTTTAAATATAAACAATAATCTAAACAACGAGATAGTTGTTACAGAATTTAATCTCAATTGACACTCCAAAAAATGCATGTTGCATTTAAGTGCAATTTACATGTTTCATGAAGAATCTCTCTCAAACATTTTAAATGCACTTAAATTTTTAATAAAAATTTCAACATATTTATAATAAAATGCAATTTTAACATAAAGCGAGTATAATATGATGAGTAAAAATGCATGTTTAGCTATTCTTGTGGATTGGCTACAAGTGCTTTTAGATAATAAAAAACAACTCCAGCAACATTTGGGAGAAAACCTAAAACTCTTTGGGTTATGAAAGAATTTGTTTAGACTTTAGTACTCTTCGATGAACATTTTCAAGTACTTCTCATAAATCATTTGGATCTTTAGTGATAGTACCAATATACTTATAACAAAAATACATGAAATGCTTGTTTTAAAGTGCTTTGAATTCCTCCTCATAACAATTGTTTATGCATCTGATAAAATGACGATCAACTCTAAATCTGGTACAGAACTTATAATTTGAATCAACTCGTAGCACTATGCTATCATCGTGTGTCTATTCTCTAAATTCACATTTATTTTTAGTCCATCACACGCACACACGGTAGGTCGCAATTATTTGTTTAAGTATCTGACTAAATCTGAGATTAATTGCTAAATAAATATGAATTCTAAATCGATCTCATTAACTAAATGTAATTGAAACGAGTCCAGGAGTTTTGGGTGGGTGAGTAGAGAAGTGCATGATCCTCATGCAAGTGCCACTCGCAAAACTGCTTGGTCTTGACACAATCATACTCTGGATGAAGCACCGGAAAGTCAATAGTACTCCACCTGCCGTCTTGGGTGGATGCAGAACAATTGTACGACGGAGCATCTTCCAACCACCCCCCGCAGATACCGAACTCAACCAATTTGAAAAGCGACATGCGTTTTCTTCTGAAGTCCTTGGATGGGTGGCTAAGTGTCCAAGGGCTCGACGACGCTGAACGACAATAAAACTCTATATCATCTCCTGAGTGCTGCTGCATAAAGGCTTCTCCGAAGTGGTTTTCTATGACGAATTTGTATTCAGTGGCTCCAAGGCATCCCCATGAGGCTGCTACAGAGACTGGGAATATCAAGACTGCTATTGCTGATGAGAAAATCACCAAACATACAAAACCCTTAATATTATTACTACTCTCCATGTTTCTCCTCGTCCGGATATTCTTGGAATATTAAGAAAATTATGGTATGGGAATCGAGTCACGATGGATCGGTCGATCTTGAGGATGTATGTATGGATGGATGGATGGATGCATTGCAGTTGGTGATGCATGCTTCGTTTATTAATATACAAGTCATGCTTGCTATGCTCATTAACTAATTTGCTTAATTTAACATATTAATTAAAACATTCACTAGTTACTAATCCATTGCTGCGAACAACTTTGATTTAAACACTCATTCAATACTGTCGTTTATTTCATAAACAATACGGTTTTTAAAATAATTTAAACACTCATTCAATACTGTTGTTTATTTCATAAACTATACGGTTTTTAAAATAAAGTAGCCGTTATTGACACTCCAAAAAAGTCATTTTACAGTCTTTTTAAAAAAAGGGTTTAAAGATTGCTTGTTTTGAAAATTGAATGAATTAGCAAGTTAGCAGAATAATGATTTTTCTTCAATTTGTTAAAAGATATCTGCTGCACAAGATTAATTGAGTTGAGGCCTCCCTCCCGCTGCCATTGAGTGTTTTAAGACCTGAACATTCCATTAAAAATTTACAAAAAGAGGACAAGTATTGATAAAATAGGGGAAATATGATTCATTACTCTCTGGGCAATAGAGCTTATGTATAGATACAACAATCACTAGAGAGAATCTCTTATACCACAGATGGTATTCGTATCCGATATTCATTAATGATGAGAAAACTTAAAATATAGAATAAACAGGATTGCAACGATAAGAGCTCCAATGACTGAGCCGATGATCCATTTATGCTTGGTCATCCTCCGTGACATGGCAGTTAAAACTCTTTTACTCTTGTCAATGGCGTCATCTACCCCATGAAGCTGCAAATGACAAAAGGAAAAACACAAAACACTCAGATTAACAAATTCACTAATGCAGATGCCTTGTTCAGATCGTATGTCGGAACTTCTTTCTTTTTCTTTCAAAGGAGGCCTATTGGCCTGGCATGATATTAGGTCGAGACCCCAACATTATATCTGAGGTTTTTGGAGCACTGCCACTGGAGTTATGAGCCCCACTTTATTTGTAAGGTTTTGGTTCCTCAACAAGCAAGTGTAGGAACGACTCCAGCATTGGAATATGTGAATGGCATGTAAGGGAAACTCACTGAATTCAACTTCAGGGAAGCGAAAAGAAGTCTAAGCGACAACAATGAACCTTAAGTTAAGCAGAAACATGATTAAAAAGTTAAACTTACTTTTTGATGGGAATGCAGGAGAGTTTCCCGCTGTTGATGCAAATCTTGGAGAATGGAGACACCAAGCTCTTCAGTCTCCAGTATGGTTCTCCTACTCTCCGTGATTCTATCACTTGATTGATTCAATCTCTCAACAGACATTGTCATTCTCTCTCTTTGATCAGAAGAAACCTGTTTTGTTGTCCACATATATCACCAAAAAATGTTATTCTATTCTACCAAGAGAAAGAAAACTAAAGACAAACATTACATCTAACTTGTAAATGATCCATTGAGGACAAATGACATGGCCTAGTAGTTGCCTTTGTCATATATCAAGAGGAAAATTATAGGCGAAAATAAGAGAGCACCCCACATAGTTGGGGGATATTTGCATTACAGCACGTCATAAATGCATACAATTCCTCAAATCAAATTTTATACTTTGGCCCAAATGTTATCAATTAAGGAAAGCTAGAATTGAAGTTTAACAATCCATACAGAGTCCAGACTTACCGCATGCACGTCAGCCATTCCGGACTCCAACAGCTCTTCGCGAGCAGCCTGATTGGCATCAGGTGATGTAATTCTTTTGATTTCCCTTTTCAACTTATTGAGATCAGATTTATATTCCCTTAGCTTAGCAAGAAGCACCGCCTTTACACTCGGCTGCAAGCTTCTGGCTTCAAGGTCCATTTTCCGAATCTGAAAAAACAAACCACACCACTCATTCGTAAAAACAAGGAAAGTATAAGAGACCAGAAGCTCTCCAGCAAAGGAAAACGAAGTGAAAACTTTTGTTCTGCATATTACCAAAGCATCAGCATCGTCCAATCCAACTTTAATCTCAGAAAACCTCTGCTTCTTCTCTGCAAATCACATTGACCCACAGCAACAACAGCCCATTTCATAAAAAGATCACAACTAAACCAAATCGTACAAATACACGGATGCATTAAAGGTCTTGACTTTCTAACAAACACTCGATCAACAAGCAAAAAACAGAAAACCCATAAAACCCCCCAAAAGAATTCCCTATCAGCCATAATCTTCCAAGTTGATCACTGTTACTAATTGATGAAATCTCATAAATTAAGAACGTTGGGGCATAATATCGCAAAAAACCCACAATCGGAGACATGGCAGTACGGATAGTTATTAAATTAGCAGAAAATGAAACAATAGAATAATACCATGGTCAGGAAGAAGGGCGGCGGAGTTAGATTTTCGTGAGAGATTTGCTGAGAGCTCGCAGTACTGACGCTCGTAGCCTTCAAACACCTCACTCATCTCGATTGCTACGTGGCACACTATCCCCACTGGTTCAATTGAGAATTTGCGAATCGAGAAGACAACGATCTGAAGAGGATTTTGGGTTGTTTTGTTCGTTCTCCAACCTCAATTTTTCAGATTTTGTTGGTCTTCTTGTAGCTCACAGTTGACAGAAATCGAGATTCGACTTTTTGAGCTCGTCCGTAATTTCTGAATTTCGGAGGCTCAATTAAAAAAAGGGAAATGAACAGTCGTCGAAAAAACGCCCCGCTAGATAAAGTTACCATGCCATATAATTTTGTATTTTCCTTGTACGACACTGCGTTTCGATCATCTTGTTTCTTTTCCCCTTCTCATAGAACCGACCCTTTATAAAGTTAAATTTTGTATGATTATTATCATATTCCTTGTTCAATAACAGAAACATAAACAGAAAAAGAAATTTTCACTTTCCTTTCTCTTTTTCTGATAAAACAATACCATCTAGGCTCCTAGGTCAGTACCCAGTAAATTTGTGACAAATCAAAGATTATTGTGCACAAAGAAAACAGCAGAAGAATTAAAACTCTGGAAAAGTAGCTGAAGGGGGGCGGGGAGAGGAGGGGGAGGGAGCACGGGTGGAGGGATTAAGGGGATTAATCAACAAACCACAGTAAAAGTGCACATTTCCTAAACAAAGTTAACCTCTAAAGTAAAATCCAAGCAACCTGAGTAGGCTCAATACAAGTTCCTTTGTGTAAAATGAAAATTCTCCAAATGGTAGAACCTACCAAACTCACAGTACAATTTAGTCTAAAACCATAAAATGAAAGGATTACTGCTGGCATTACAGTGTCGACTCAGAATAGAACCAAAAGAAATGAAGTGAAGGCAGTAAACTGCCTCCTTGAACCTACAACCTCATGCCATTATCTTCGCAGACCTCACGTAGAGGCTGTCCACAACCTTGCCGATGTTAGATATGGTTTCCAACGTTGCAGGGTAGATTGCATCCGTCTTGGGATCGTCGAAAATGATGAGGCATCCAGCACCCTGATCTAAAGTCCCTGCAAACTTCTTGTCCAGAATCATCTGAGACAGTTTCTTTTCCACATGATCGATTGGCAGTTCAATGAGTTCTGCGATATGAGCAATCTCCACCCTTGAGAAAGGCTCAATCAACCTGCAGAGATTCTGTTCCAACAGAGTGTCATACAGGGAAGAAAGGTGCCTGTGGACAATGGGATCTTCCTCCAGCTGAGCCTTAAAATCCCGAAGAGCAGTTTCAAAGAGCTTTAAAGAGCGCTTCGAGTGAGCATCAGCAACTGCTTTCATAGCATCCAGCTCGGGCCCCACATACTGTAGTCCTGCTTTTGATGAAATTATACCTGCCACATCATCAGCCTGGCTCACCATGATTTTGCACAGCAACATATACTTGAGGCTAAATACAGCCCGAGGATCTTCAAGAGCATTGAAGGCTTCAAATGCTTCAAAGAAATAACTATAAGCAGTCTTGTAGTCCTTTTCTTCAGCATGAAGAATCCCACTCTGCAAATCGATAGTTCCCTGCTGAGCTGGAGGCACATATATGGAATTGGCTGCTGTTCTTGCAGCAGTGAGTGAAGCCTTGGCTTTAGGGAGATTTCTCAAAGAGAAATGGAGCTTACTCTCCAACAAATCTATGTCCACAAGGAGAAGCTTGTCATCTAGCCTTCTCACTTCCTTGATCAAGCCTGATAGGAGACTTAGTGCTTCTGAATACTCCTTGCTTTCCATCAAAAGAGATGCAAGTCTGGCCTCCACTCGCTGTCGAAGGAAAGTTCGCTTTTCAGCACGGGTCCACTGCACCATTTCTTTGCAAAGGGAAATCTGAAGATCAGATGTGCCTGGTACTTTAGCTACTGCATCAATAATACTACGAACAATTTTTGCAGTTTTCGCCTTGGGAATCAAGTTAAAGAAGGGCCTCAACTGGGTGAGAAGGTTACGAAGATCCTCTGCCCGATTTTCTTGTCTAAGAAGATCCGTCAGATTTGTGATAGCCTGTTCCTTTATCCGTAGAGCTTCAGAAGAAGAAGATGGGTTTTCAAGAATGCGATAAAGAATAGAAATGGCTTCAGATGGGGCTTTGGCCTCTAAAGCCTGAGCAATCGAATCAGTAGTTGCTGGGAGATATGATGAAGACATTGTCAATGCTTTGAACTATCCAAGTCCTGCAGAAAGAGAACAGACCAAACTATTAAAATCAAATAATAAAATTGCCTCAGCATCTAAATACGAAGATGAAAGAGGTATCAGTTTGGATCCCAAGCAGTTGCAAGCCTCCTAAAAACTGAGATTTGACCTGTGAATATTCTTATAATATAACACTGCAAAGGAAGATGTTACTTAAACCTTTGACGGCACTAACTTCTAAAATGATTCCCAAGTCTCTAATATAGACAAAAATTGACAAATAACAAATTTTACTCCCTCCCAAAAGCATTTATCAACATTACGAGCCATCCCCAACGAAGTAACCGATTTGGTACTTTAAGAGAACATTTAACCAGCTTCACTCCCAAATTCATCTAGCTGACCCCAGTTAGGAGAACCCATGAAATTCTGTTCATGCAAGTGAGATCTACATAGCTAGTCTATAACTAAATTCTTCTTCATCTGTTTATTTTTCTGTCACTATTTCACACCAAAACTAATGAAAATACAGAGTTAACAGTACAAATATAAATGAGAAAGCATATTTAAACCATGTATTTATGATATATCTTTATCAACATCAAAAACTGAATTTTGCTTGCCATTTTATACTCTACAATATAATTTAATTGGCTAACCAGAAATGGCACTCTGCAGATTTTAAGGTTCAACTTTGTTTAAAGTACCTCAGATAATAAAAACAAAATTCAAACCAATAAAAGAAACTTAGACTCGAACACATATGAATAAACAGTAACAAGAAATTCAAACTAAATCAAGGAGATGAATGTTTGAAAATACTAAAAATACAGCAATACATCAACATTTGAGCAAAATCGGATGAAAATACAGTAAACACATACTACCCACAGATATAGATGCACAATATAGAAAGTCGAAGGCAAGAAAGCCCTGAAATTCAAGCAGAAAGCAACCCCATAAACTGAAATAATTTCAAATTGAGGAAAAAAAAACCCTAAACTGAAGCATATCCCTAGTTTGAAAAAACAAAAAATTAAACCTAAATTTAAAGAATTGAAGTAAATGAGATCGCAGGAAGAAGAGGGATGGATAGATACCCGGTTGACCTAGGAAATTGGACGAGCTTGAAGAAAGAGTGAAGAAGATTCACAGAGGACGAGAGGAGGAGGGTCGGTGGTGATGCACAGCGAGAGGCGGATTTGTGAAGTCCCAAGTCTTAAGTAAAGGCTCAGCTTAGCTGGGACGGTCCCTTGATTTTCTCTCTTTTTTTATTTTTCTGCGGTGTTCCGATTCGTGGTGTAAATTCCTTGATGGACTATCGCTGCACGGGAACAAAACCCCCTCTCCACCAAAAATAATTGCTATTTTTAAAAATATCAACAGGTTTTCTTCTTTTCTTGTTTCTAAAGAAAAGCCAGTCCTTGGACTGGGCTTGCGAAAAATGAGCTTTGATCTTGGGCTGGGCTTTGTTTTCTTCTCTTTGGAAGATTGTGTGTGCTTTTTTTTTTCCTTTTGATTTTGGATTCCAACTAGGAGATTTTTTTATTTTTTTTAATTTGAAAAAATAAATATTATTATTATCATACAAAAATATAAGATGAAACAACTAATTCTTTTATTGTTGGGTTGGATCCACAATTAATCCTATAAATCCTTGGGATTGGCGTATTCTTATAATATTTTTTTTAGGAACAAAATAGTTTCATTATTACTAAAAGTAATTATTACAAAAGAATAAATAAAAAATGCAAGGTCCACAGCATATTTTTTCAAAAGTAGCACGATATAATTCAAAATTTTCACCTAATTGAGCGTGTCTAGCATATTTTTTCTCTGTATTTGCCAAAAAATTGAGAGTTCCTATCGTAATGCATGATTACTTAACAAGGGGATTCACTGCAAATACTAGCTTGGCTCATTATTGCTGAGACGAAAAAATGGCAAAAAAGAAAGTATTATTTTCCCTTCTATATCCTGCATCTATAGTATTTTTGCCTTGATGGATCTCTCTCTCATTTAGTAACTAACCAGAAATGGCACTCTGCAGATTTTAAGGTTCAACTTTGTTTAAAGTACCTCAGATAATAAAAACAAAATTCAAACCAATAAAAGAAACTTAGACTCGAACACATATGAATAAACAGTAACAAGAAATTCAAACTAAATCAAGGAGATGAATGTTTGAAAATACTAAAAATACAGCAATACATCAACATTTGAGCAAAATCGGATGAAAATACAGTAAACACATACTACCCACAGATATAGATGCACAATATAGAAAGTCGAAGGCAAGAAAGCCCTGAAATTCAAGCAGAAAGCAACCCCATAAACTGAAATAATTTCAAATTGAGGAAAAAAAAACCCTAAACTGAAGCATATCCCTAGTTTGAAAAAACAAAAAATTAAACCTAAATTTAAAGAATTGAAGTAAATGAGATCGCAGGAAGAAGAGGGATGGATAGATACCCGGTTGACCTAGGAAATTGGACGAGCTTGAAGAAAGAGTGAAGAAGATTCACAGAGGACGAGAGGAGGAGGGTCGGTGGTGATGCACAGCGAGAGGCGGATTTGTGAAGTCCCAAGTCTTAAGTAAAGGCTCAGCTTAGCTGGGACGGTCCCTTGATTTTCTCTCTTTTTTTATTTTTCTGCGGTGTTCCGATTCGTGGTGTAAATTCCTTGATGGACTATCGCTGCACGGGAACAAAACCCCCTCTCCACCAAAAATAATTGCTATTTTTAAAAATATCAACAGGTTTTCTTCTTTTCTTGTTTCTAAAGAAAAGCCAGTCCTTGGACTGGGCTTGCGAAAAATGAGCTTTGATCTTGGGCTGGGCTTTGTTTTCTTCTCTTTGGAAGATTGTGTGTGCTTTTTTTTTTCCTTTTGATTTTGGATTCCAACTAGGAGATTTTTTTATTTTTTTTAATTTGAAAAAATAAATATTATTATTATCATACAAAAATATAAGATGAAACAACTAATTCTTTTATTGTTGGGTTGGATCCACAATTAATCCTATAAATCCTTGGGATTGGCGTATTCTTATAATATTTTTTTTAGGAACAAAATAGTTTCATTATTACTAAAAGTAATTATTACAAAAGAATAAATAAAAAATGCAAGGTCCACAGCATATTTTTTCAAAAGTAGCACGATATAATTCAAAATTTTCACCTAATTGAGCGTGTGTAGCATATTTTTCGCTGTATTTACCAGAAAATTGAGAGTTCCTATCGTAATGCATGATTACTTAACAAGGGGATTCACTGCAAATACTAGCTTGGCTCATTATTGCTGAGACGAAAAAATGGCAAAAAAGAAAGTATTATTTTCCCTTCTATATCCTGCATCTATAGTATTTTTGCCTTGATGGATCTCTCTCTCATTTAGTAAAAGTTTGGAATCTTGGGTTACTAATTGGTGGAATACTAGGCAATCCTACATTTCAATTGGTTGGTATTTTTGCTTATCCTCATATCTTTCAAAAATTGAAACTTAGGGAAGTGCTTTATAACGCCTATACAAAGGATTACGTATGGAAATCTTTTTTTAGCTTTCACATAATCTTGCGATTGAAAAGAAAAAAGTATCGCATGAGAGGATCAATCGAAACTAGGTTTTACATTTTGTCTTTCCATATTAGAAAGCCCCACCCTTGTAATAATGTAGTAAGAAAGTTTTATTAGGCGTGTTTTATTTAGTAGATGGGCTTTAATTTATCTTCTCCTCATAAAGAATGAAAAGATATATGCACGCAATAAGATCTTTTTTAAAAAAAACTTTAAAACATCATAGAATCAACTAAACAAGCAAAATCCAAAGCATAGGAAGGTCTGTAATTACTAATAAGCATAAGAAAATTTTACTGTTGTAGAAGCTAAACTGAATAAAAGCGATAATTTACTTTAAATTAATCTAAACTTAGTAAAATCATGGGTCGACACAACATGCTAATTAAGATCATGTTCTTGCATTCCTTGGTCCCACGCGAGCCTGAAAACCAGCTTTAATTTGAGCAACTGATCGCTCAGAACCACACTTCTCGCAATTAAGAGAGAGGAGACGATTCTTTTTTGAAAGCATGGTGTCCGGACTTTTACACCCATTGCAATTGACATATCTAATGACATATCGGCGCAGTATTCCTTGGAAATTATTGGGTGCAAATCTTCCCTTGACAACCAACCTTTGTTGCCCATCAAGCGATCCACTTGTCCCCAGTTCGGTCAGCAAGAAATTCATGACATGATTCGGCTCCCTACGCATCATCTTGCACTCATCTATGAAATTCACAAAAACAGTTTTGTTTGTGCCCTCACGAAGTACTTGTGGAGGCCTCAAAACTATCCCACGCCTGTCTCCAGCCAGCTCCAAGTTATTCTCGCGATCACGAAGAATGTTAAACACTCTATCAAGAAGCTCCTCGTATGTGTTGCCCTCCCAAGGATAGGATGGAGCCCCATAATCATCGACGGTATCTTGTATAACAACCTTCTTCTTTTTCTTCTTTTTAGTAGGATCAAAGGGAGTAATATCTGATACCACCTCGTCCTTCACCTCATTCTGATTGTCACATGCCATGACGTTTGAAATTGAAGAAAGCTCTCCCTCTTCGAAAATCTCGACAAATAAACTTTACTCAATAACTCTACTTCCTCTAATGAATTACATAATAGGGGGTATTTATAATATTCTAACCCTAGAGTAACAAGGAATTTAAACTTATTCTATGAAAGAATTCCTAATCCAAATAAATTAGGAAACATAAATCAAATCTTACTATAATTTGAAACCTACTTAAATATGGAAAATTAAGGGCCTGTTTGGTATTCAACTTGAATCCAACTTTTTAAACTCAAAAACAGAATTGGAGTCCAAAACAAACCAAACCTGTTTGGTAGTCCTATTTTTAAAAACTCAAACTCAAGAACAACTAAAAACACCCCAATTATTAAAAACAAAAAATTTCTGTTTTTCCAGTTTTTTTCTAACAACCCATAAATTAAAAATTCCTACTACTCCATTACTTAAAAAACATGAAATTAGAAAATTGATCACGTGCTATATACACTGACCGTGGAGCCGAAGTCTCAAAAGTTCGGACGATGGCGGGAATTTTGACTGGTAGTTGGCCCGTTTATGGCTACCGGTCCCTTCACCGACATCCCCAAAATCACCCCCGGATTCAAAAATACAGAACACCTTCGTTTACACCACTATCGTGAAGAAAAAAAATCCCCCAATCCACCCAAACATCGCGAAACGGAAGCTTCCTTTCTTCCGTGAGAAATAAGGAAGAAACACGCAGGACCATTTCCGGCATTAAAAAAATTCCGAAGCAGCGGACAGTTAGTCCAGTCCTGTCGGTTTAAGCGGTAGGATCCGAACAGTGATCCAAAGCTCAGAACTTTCTAGGGTTTACTGAAACCGATCAGCAGCTCAAGAAATGCTCGTTTCGGCTCTGTTGACGTCGCTCTTAATAAACTCCGGCCTCTGTGTCCTGTTCTTCACGCTCTACTCTATCCTGCGAAAACAGCCCAGCAATTATGAGGTTTACATGCCGAGATTGCTCGCCGAAGGAGAGTCCAACACGTCGAGTATTTTCAACCTCGAACGGCTGATTCCGTCTCCCGATTGGGTCAAGACGGCCTGGCAGCTCACCGAGGACGATTTGTTGTCGTCCTCGGGATTGGACGCGGTCGTTTTTATGAGGCTTATCAATTTCAGCCTCAGAGTGTTTTTGTTTGCTGGAGTGATTGGGGTCTTCGTTCTGCTTCCGATCAACTGCTCCGGAAATCAGCTTCAGTACGTTGACTTTACCGATCTGTCGAACAACTCTCTGGACGTGTTTACCATTTCAAATGTGAACAATGGCTCAAGCAAGTGAGTTTTTGCTCCAATTACTGTGAGGTTATTTCAAGCTGTTGATAGAGTTAGCAATTTGGAGCTCATGTTGTTAATTTAATTTCTAATTGTAATATCCCTAGATTCTTTTTTTTTTGTTCGAAATATCCCTAGATTCTAATAATTCTATAATTAAGTTCCTAAAGCCTGAATTTTAATAAGAAAGATTTACCTAATCTTGGACTTGTGCTAATAAAGACAGGTTTTTCTTTCTTGCATCCCTTATCAGTTAGTTTTCCTTGTATATTATAGCCATGTTAGGTGCAAAAGTTAACTTATTTATGCTGACTTTTTTTACAGGTTATGGATTCACTTTGTTGCTGTGTACCTTGTCACCATCTTTGTCTGCTGTCTACTTTATTATGTAAGTAACAGCTTGGTGTGTTAAAAACTTTGCTACCTATGCTTGGGAGATTCAGACAACGACGTCACAATTCCCAGTTTATGGTGATCTTTGGAAGAGGCAAAGGTTGAAATGGATACTGAATAATACTTCATTCTGCAGGAGTATAGATATATTTCTCAGAGAAGGACCGACTATTTTCTTTCATCCAAACCTCAGCCACATCAGTTCACCATCTTAGTTCGTAGCATTCCTGTTTCTGCTGGGAGTGGTGTCAGTGAAAAAGTTGACAGCTTCTTTAGGGAGTATCACCCTTCAACATATCTGTCGCATATTGTTGTTCGTCGAACAAACAAGCTTCAAAGTCTCATTGTAAGTATTTTGTATGATTTCTATCTTCTGCATTGATGTTACTAAGTTTTCTGTTTCTCTCAAGGATCCATAGAGTTAAGATACTAAGAAAGATCATGGTTGGATCTTATATTAAATTGCAGTTCATGCTTCAACATGTTTTTCTATGCTATACTTACATTTCTAACAGTTATATGTTTTCCTTATTCTTTAGAATGATGCGAAAAAACTATATACCAGGCTCATTCACTTGCAATCAGATCCCAACCAGCAAAAGTATAAACGTTCCAGTTGTTTTGGGTTGTTTGGACGCAAGGTTAATCTTGTGGATCATTATGAAAAGAAGCTTGAAGACATAGAGGAGAATGTGAGATTGGAGCAATCAGAGGTTTCATTAGCAGGAGAAGTATGTCGTGAACTCTATCTTTCTCTCTCTCCCTCCCACCCCATCTCCCCTCTCTTCCTCATTCCAGAAAAATTGTTATTTTCATCCATTATAGTTTTAATTTTATGGTGTGATTCTTATATTTCAAGTCAAGTGTTATGTGCAGGTCTTGGTTTATGTATGTATTGTGTTTTTGTCAAATGTATCTAATACAGTAGATTCATCAGTGGTCAAACAATTTTTCTATGCTATACTTACATTTCTAACAGTTATATGTTTTCCTTATTCTTTAGAATGATGCGAAAAAACTATATACCAGGCTCATTCACTTGCAATCAGATCCCAACCAGCAAAAGTATAAACGTTCCAGTTGTTTTGGGTTGTTTGGACGCAAGGTTAATCTTGTGGATCATTATGAAAAGAAGCTTGAAGACATAGAGGAGAATGTGAGATTGGAGCAATCAGAGGTTTCATTAGCAGGAGAAGTATGTCGTGAACTCTATCTTTCTCTCTCTCCCTCCCACCCCATCTCCCCCTCTTCCTCATTCCAGAAAAATTGTTAATTTCATCCATTATAGTTTTAATTTTATGGTGTGATTCTTATATTTCAAGTCAAGTGTTACGTGCAGGTCTTGGTTTATGTATGTATTGTGTTTTTGTCAAATGTATCTAATACAGTAGATTCATCAGTGGTCAGACAGAAAAAGTCATTTGGATATGACTAGGTGAAGCATATCATTAAAGCATATTTAGGCATACAACTATGATAACTTGGGCGACAGGATTTAGAAATCTATATTCTGTTTCTGTGGTTGAACTACTCCTAATCCACCCTTGACTCGGGGACTGTGGGTAGAGGGTAAGAATTTCTTGTGAAATTGTGATAAGTTCTGGCTCCAGTCTCCATGCGGTTACAATTTGTTACCTGCTTGTATTGTTCTGTCATGCTCTTACTGTACAACTTAGGATAATAAGACTCCCTTGTTTACCTGTTATAAAATGTTAAAAAAATAAAAGTATTCCACTATCTTGTCCAAATCATCCTCCCATCTAATAAGTCTTTCATCACTGTCACATTTTAAGTGTGAATAAGTGGCAATAGGGGTGAACTCCATGTAAATTGGTCAGTTATGATGGTTCTGAGGGCATGTTATTAATTTGCATTCATTTTTCTAATGTTTAAGGAAGTCCGATCTGCTTTTGTATCCTTCAAGTCTCGATATGGTGCCGCAGTTGCTCTCCACTTGCAACAATCAACCAATCCTACACACTGGGTCACAGAGCAAGCTCCTGAACCTCATGATGTTTACTGGCCCTTCTTTTCGTCATCATTCCTCCGAAGATGGATATCTAAGCTGGTGGTTATATTAGCATGCATTCTCCTAACAGTCTTATTCCTCATTCCTGTTGTAGTTGTCCAAGGTCTTACTAACCTGAACCAGTTGGAAGTTTGGTTTCCCTTTCTCACTAGCGTTCTAACCATGTGAGTAAATATCATAAACCCACCTCTCTCTCTCTCTCTCTCTCTCTCTCTCTCTCTCTCTCTCTCTCTCTCTCTCTCTCTCAACACACATTATGAATTTACATAGCCACTTGCTAGTGACTGCACTTTCATTTTTCACTTCAATCATTCTGGTTAAGTAAAGTGTCTTTGGTTTTCTCTTTTTCCTGATGAATGTCCAGATGTAAATGCACCAAATTTCAATCAATTAAATGAATACTTCTGCAACATTTGTGAAAAACTTGATCTTAGACAAAATGATGAGAAAGCTATATCTACCATAAATATTGTAGAAACTCTGAGGACACTTATCTTTATCTATCTTTTTAAATGACCTTGTGGTTTTATGCAGTTCAAAAAGTTAAATCGTGGTAACTTTTTTACAGTTTTTATCTTTTGGATTGGTTGATGATGTAAAGTTCTAACTTTGTGTGTCTTCCTGCAGCACATTTGTTAGTCAAGTCATTACAGGCTACCTCCCTAGTCTTATCCTTCTGTTGTTTCTGAAAATGGTGCCCCCTGTCATGGAGTTCCTTTCATCCATTCAAGGATATATTTCTAACAGTGATATACAAAAGAGTGCATGTTCAAAAGTACTGTGGTTCACAATATGGAACATTTTTTTTGCTACTGTATTTTCTGGCTCAGTTTTGTATAAGGTTTCTCTCTTTCTTGACCCCAAGAACATTCCTTCAAGGCTAGCTGTTGCTGTTCCAGCACAGGTGAGAAAATATGTCCTCCATGATATGATTGCACAAAAGTCTTGTCCAATGAATTAATAAACTTTGGAGAATCGGAAACTACATACATGTCATTGTTATGTGTTCTCCACTTATCTAACCTGTAGGCTTTTGTCAATGCATTGTTGAGTGCCAAAATGGTAATATAACTTCCTGCTACTCTGATTGATTTCATAGGGTAATTTGGCACTTTTTTTATATTACCAATCTATATCTGCAAGTAAAAATATTTTTCCCAGAAATTGTAATTGAATCTTTCTGAGAAGTGATGAGCTAAAATCTTCGACATGTCAATGCATTGTTGAGTGCCAAAATGGTAATATAACTTCCTGCTACTCTGATTGATTTCATAGGGTAATTTGGTACTTTTTTTTTATATTACCTATCTATATCTGCAAGTAAAAATATTTTTCCCAGAAATTGTAATTGAATCCTTCTGAGAAGTGATGAGCTAAAATCTTCGACATGCGGTGCTTTTGTTTGGGGTTTGAATATGGGGTATCATGATAAGCTCCAAATGATGTTTGGTATTCAAGTTTTAAGTTCTTTCAGTATGTCTGAGCCTTCGGATCATATTAGAATTTTATCCATCCATCTGGCACACTGTTGCATGTAATAGATCACAGCTGCACATTTCAGGCACACGGCTACAATCAATATGCTCAGACATATTTAGTGTCAGGCACATCTCAGACTGGAAATGTGTTTTAGCAAGATAAATTTGAAATTGAATTAAGTTTCCCTTCAGTTTAGGCATGCAATAAAAATGATGAGTGTACACTTTTACTACCTTATCATTATCATCAGGTTCACTATTTTCATGTTAATAACATCATTTACAACGGGTGTGATGCAGGCTTCTTTTTTCATTGCTTATGTAGTCACATCAGGATGGACGAGTACTTCTTCAGAGCTCTTTCGCATATTTCCTTTACTCTGGAGTCTAATAAAAAGACCTTTTACTGCCAGTAGAGATACTGAACTTGAAGTTCCAGGAATTCCTTATCATAGTCACACCCCAAGAATTCTTTTCTTTGTACTTCTCGGGATCAACTACTTCTTCCTAGCTCCACTAATTCTGCCTTTCCTCTTGGTGTACCTCTGTCTTGGATACATCATCTATCGCAATCAGGTCAGCAGACTTAACATGTTGATAATGGAAGTATCATTTGTTCAGTGAGGTCAGAATTTGTTGGAAGAATTATTAAAGATTGCATTTAGAAGTTATTGTTTGTGATTTCTTGTAACTAGTTAGAGGATTTGATTTGAATGTAGCGTATTGATACTCAGCAAAATTCACTGTGCAGTTCATAAATGTATATGCTCCTCAGTATGAAACTGCAGGGAAGTTTTGGCCGATCGTGCACAATTCGATGATATTTTCTCTGGTACTTATGCATGCTATTGCAGTTGGAATCTTTACATTGAAGAAGCTCTCTCTAGCATCAACCTTAGTTTTTCCTCTTCCTGTATTAACACTTCTGTTTAATGAGTACTGCCGGAAACGCTTCCTGCCCAATTTCATTGCTTACCCTGCTGAGGTATGTTTAAAATCCACATCATTGTTACTCTTTGACACTAAGACTCCCACCTATAAATCTTTTGCCCTGGTGTTCACCCGGTTTATTTTCTGTTTCAGAGTTTGATAAGAAAGGACAGGCAAGATGAGAACGATCCTACAATGCCTGAATTTTTGGATGAATTGATCAGCTTCTATCAGGACCCAGCCTTGATGCCTATCCACTATTCTGGGAGCAGTGACAGACTTAACAGCCCTCTTTTATCTTCTGTTCATCAAGCACAGGTTTGAGGTACATTTTTATGTGATATCTTATTCTTTTCCCTGTACAATAGAAGTTTCTTCAAAAGATCACTCTTCCATCCCGATTGATGTGCTTATTCTCCTTGTGTATGCATGCATATCCATCTGTGAATGGACGTGTACAACCAACCATATGATCTATTAATAGTTGTGTTCTTGAGATCAATTTTCATAAACTTGTCCCAACTGATTTTCCTTCAATCTGGAACTATCAGCATGCCATGTAGTCTCTAATTCTTTTAGCCCGCTCTAATCACAATTAGTTACAAATGCAACCCTTACTAAAGAAGGAGCAAAGTAATTAACTAAATGATTGTCAACTTCTTAAAGGTATCTTTCAAGATTTGAAGTGCTGCAATATCCAATGTATGTTCCTTGTGTTTATAGAATTCACTAGGTAAATCATCATTAGTTACTGTCTTTCTTTGGTCTAAGTCATCATCAGTGTCCGCCTCTTTAGTTTCGAAGATAGTCAAGGGAAGAAGGTCAATGGTCTAGATTTTCATGTCAAGGATCTTCTCAGTCTTCTTCTCATGAGTAGTATGAGCTAAAATTTAGGAAAAAAGAAAATTTGCTCTATCCACTTTAAGATAGATAAATATATCTGATTCTTCCCCTTTATACAGCAGATTGTCAAAAGCTTCTCCTTTTCATTTGCCACATTGCATGAGAGAGAGAGAGAGAGAGAGAGAGAGAGATGTTTTAGAATGATTCTAATTTAGTTTTACTATTATACAGTGATGGATTGGATTCTTTTCAAATTGATTTGAAAAATATGCATATGAATTTCATTGTTCCAAGTTATATTTGAATGAAGCTGGTTCTGTAACCTGTTCTGCAAATATAGATCAGCTATGGCCCAAATCTGTCCTTATGACTTCGGCCATCTTTGTAAACATCATATACAACATTAAACATTAAACATTTAATTAAAGAATTAATTAGTTTTCTAATTTGCTCTTAATTATACTGGTGACTTATGATTCCAATAACATATTCATTTCTTCTCACATGCATGTATATACTACTAAACTCCATAATTGACACCACTGAATTGGTCTTCATGCCGCCCACTGAATTGGTGTTTCATGATTATCTTTGACTGCAATATGTTTTTTAATCATTGTTTAATTAATTTGTTTTTGAATGGAATGCTCGCTTTAACAAATTGGAACTCTTATTAGCCAAAAGTAAATAACTTTATCATTCCCGATGATTTATTTATTTATCATAATAATATTTTATGATGTCAAAGACAGACATCAAAGCAAAGCAAAGCAATGGATGGAGATGAAAGTGAAGTCTTGAGTTCCTATTTCATCTCGAGAACTTATAATATTCATCTGTATTGGAGTGCTGGTAAAAACCCATCTCATGAAAACTAGTATTATATTTTTAAGTTTAATAAGAATCCAAATTTCCAACCACTAGCTAAGAGAATCTTGTATGACCTCTAGGATTTCGCAATAATGAGGGAATAAATTATAAATATAGCAGGCACGAAAAACAATGGATGAGTAATGGATGAGTAGGACCCTTAGCATAGCGGCGCGTAGCACAATTGTTGATGACACAATTAAACTCCACGGTAAATTAAACACATTTCCAAAGACTATGATAGACAAGTCCTATCAGGCAAATTCATCCCCCCTCTCCCCTCTCCCCTCCTCCCGAACAAGGCAACATTGCATACTTGAAAATGAATAAGTATATCGAGGCTCACTTTTTATAATAAAATATCATCTTATACCTCTTATCTATTTTTATGAAATACAAAAATTAATCATATGATAATGGTTTGTGTACAACTGCATTGCTTAATCCTTTAGAGGGGGTGAACTTTTTCTCTGAGGCAAATAGTCCCGAACGAGGCAACATTGCATACTTCAAAATGAATAAGTATATCGAGGCTCACTTTTTATAATAAAATATCATCTTATACCTCTCATCTATTTTTATGAAATACAAAAATTAATCATATGATAATGGTTTGTGTATAACTGCATTGCTTAATCCTTTAGAGGGGGTGAACTTTTTCTCTGAGGCAAATAAAACGGGTTGACAACATACCACCTAGGTTGTTATAGTATAATTTTGCTTACTTCCTTTGCGTACTCCCTCTTGGAGATGCAAATTATAAATATAGCAGGCACGAAAACAATGGATGAGAGAGGACCCTTAGCATAGCAGCGGCATAATTGTTGATGATTGTAAACTCCACGATAAATTAAACACATATCAACATCTATGATAGCGGCGGCATGATGCTAGCACAATTGTTGATGATTGTAAACTCCACGACAAATTAAACACAGATCAACGTCTATGATAGCGTCACGACAAGTCCTACCAAGTAACCAATGGAAATTCAAACTTCAAGGGCATTAGTAGTTTCTGTTAATCATGTTTTTTTTATTTATGGGCTAGCGTCACGACAAGTCCTACCAAGTAACCAATGGAAATTCAAACTTCAAGGGCATTAGTAGTTTCTGTTAATCATGTTTTTATTTATTTATGGGTATAAGAGCCATATTCAACAGTAAAAAAGCACAAACGACAGGTTCAATCAGATTGATTCAACTATATATTCTTGTTGCTTTAATTAATTGCCTTCCATTGTTGCAGTGGAAGGATTTGATCTTTTGTCCCCATTCTGTTTTACCCTGTTTCTTGGTTGTATCCAATTTGGATTTGCATTTTCCTCTTCTTGGTTTCGTTTTCTTCCTTTTGTTTTCCATTTTATCATCATGCACATCCAGAATATGCTCCGGCCACCCTTGAGACATGGGCAGCTTATGAGGGAATTTGTAGAAATATGCACATGTTTCCAAAACCAGTTTTTAACAGTTTTGTTTTGGGTTAATCCATTCTTGGCTAAAAACATAACTTTCAAGGATATGATAGTTGGAAATTCCTGCCCAAAATAAAAAGGAAATGAATTGGAAAAGATGGGGTCTTTTCATTTGGCAATAATGAAGAGAGTAAAGGATGGGAAAAAGAAATAAAAGAAGCTAAAGATGAGAGAAAGCCACAACAGCTTTTTCGAGGGTTTGCTGGTGATTGAAAGTCTTGGGATTTTGCCAATGGGATCCCACTACAGTGGTGGTGGCTTCTCTCTCTCCTATGGCACCCCAGTTCGAACCCCTTCGACTTCAATGTAACCGAAAAAAACAGAGTCTTGGGATTTTGCACCAAATTATCAAGAACTGCCCAGTTTTAAAATGTTGGGCTCAACTTTCTTTTTTCGTCTAGGTAAGGTAGGTAATTGTACACAGTACACTCAAAAGATTATTTGTCAATATCCATATAACGCAAACTAAAGCAATGGACATTATATGTTCCAAATAAAAGAACAAAAGAAAGGAAAGAGAAACAGTGGACATAGTGGATGGAAATGATGTGGTCCAAATCTTGAACACAAGTTAAATACGTAGAGGCTCCACACTAATCATATTGTCCCATCACCACATTCCAACAATGTTTATCCTTAACATTCAAACAACCCCACCTTCCCAAGTGCATGAATGGCCCCCTTCTCATCAATTTGCCACTAATCATGTTCACAAAAGATGGGGCAAAAGGAGGGCCGGAAGTAGTAACAAAAGGGAAATACAAAAGGAAAAATATCAAAAGACTTAGAAAAGAGAGATTTATAATATTAAAAGGAATTCTAAATTTGAATTTTTATCGTATCAATAAAAAAAAACAAATTAATATAGAAATTAAACCCTATGTGATGAACAACCTTCACGAAGGGTTGCTCTCAAGTGTTGCCGGTTTCAAATGCTGACTTATCCCACCAAAATTATGTATTTTATTCACTGGTTTGTTCTCCATTACTTTTTCAACCTTAATTAATATTTTCAGGTCCCATAAAATGGTTCCAAAAGATCCAAAATGTCCGTATTCAAAGACAATGATGCATTAAAATAAAGGGGGGATGAAAAGGCAGTCAAATATTATGAATTGTAAATTTGTAGTGTGGAATGAACAAGTACAAGATATGAATTAATGAAAGTCTAAAAGATGAGAGTGCCTAATCACTACCAGAAGCAATTAAATTTTATTTAAAAGACCAAGCCTTTCCCTCCTCATTTTGACTTGCAAGCATTTTCAAGGAACAAGTCCAAGAAAGAACCTATTTGTTTTGACAGATGGTCAATTGACCAGAAAGGGTGTTTTGTTTTGAATAAATTGGTTTCTCTAGTTTTACTCTTACCCAAATACATTGATTGGGCGTTTTACCTTTCTTTAAGGCATCAGTCCACTTTTCCCTTCAAACTATGCTCACCAGAATCATACCTTCTTCAGAGCTCGACATAAAGAACCTTGGGATTTTGGAACTAAAACCCAAACTCTCTCTCTCTCTCTCTCTCTCTCTCTGCAATAACTACAGCTTCTACTGAGGCATCTTCCCACTGATATCACAAACAGAACACATCTCCCTCTCTCTGTCTCTCTCTCTCACATGCTCAAAACCTCTCTTGCTTTCTCATTCTTGTTTTTTCACTCAATCAAGTTATGGAAGAGACCGAAGAATCCAATGGTAACAAGAAATGCCACACCAAAACCAGAAGCCTAAGGGGCGGAGCCAACCCTCAGAAGCATCACCATCAGCATCAACTAATACAGTACTCAAACCAGTTTGGTTTCTGCAACCAGAATCAGTACCAGAGATATTACTACCCAGCCCTTCTTCCACTCCCACCTCCAATACCTCTGCAACTAGCTTTAACTCCACCTCTGCCGCAAAACTACAACTTCAGATCAAAAACCCATTTGCAGAAACCTTCATGCAGGCTCAATAATGCTCCTTTTGCCGCCTCTTCAGAAACCCAAGTGTCCACAGCCACAATTTCACCATGTAAGTATCAAAGCCCTCTGCTTTTCGCTATTTCCCCTTTCTTTGCATGTTTGTTCTTTGGAAGTGCAACTATGTATGCAATGATTTCTATTTCGTTTTCTGTTTTTGTGAGGATATGTTTCTTTATTCATTGAGGTTATCAGGAGGACACACTCAGCAAAAGCGTAGGCTGAAAAATGGATATGATTTTTCTTCTTCTTTTTCAAAGTTTTGTTTTTTGCTTTCAGTTTTACACATTTGGTTCTTGTCCATTCAATGGCGACTTTCTGATATAGAACTGGATAGATATAGTTATCTGCAATGAGAAGAAAATTGCTAAAACTGATGTTTGTTGCCAGTTCTACCATCTACTGTTGATTTGGGCTTAAAATTCCTCCATTTCTGACAGTTTTATGAGTAACCTTGTTCTCCGTTAAAAATCAGCAGCTTCGGAGGGGTTCCAAGAGCAAACCAGTTCACCTTTCAAAGGAGAAGATGTAAGGAAGTTGACATGTGCAAGAACAGGAAAAGCAATAGTGACTGCAAGGAGACCAGACTCTGGTGGTGTAGAAGGAACTGTTATCTCTCTCTTAGCTAACCATTTTCTTGTCCAATTTGATTCATCAGAACGAATTTTCCATTACAATGTTGACATCTCTCCTAATCCCTCCAAGGAAGTTGCTCGAATGATCAAACAAAAACTGGTAGAGGATAACTCAACTTTGCTCTCTGGTGCTATTCCAGCTTATGATGGCCGCAAGAATCTTTACAGCCCGGTTGAATTCAAAAGTGATAGACTTGAATTCTATATAAGCCTCCCCATCCCCACAAGCAAGCCAAGCTTGCCAATTGGAGTATTCAGTGGTTTCCAGGAGAAGCATCAACAACTTAAACTATTTCGTATAAATATCAAACTGGTGTCAAAGATTGATGGGAGGGAATTGAGTAGTTACCTGAGCAAGGAAGGGGATGACTGGAAGCCCCTTCCTCAGGATTATCTCCATGCCTTGGATGTCGTTTTGAGGGAGGCCCCATTGGAGAAGTGTATACCTGTGGGAAGATCACTTTATTCAAGTTCAATGGGAGGGACTAAAGATATTGGAGGAGGAGCTGTGGGATTGAGAGGGTTCTTTCAAAGCCTTCGACCAACCCAACAAGGACTAGCTCTCAATGTAGATTTCTCTGTGACTGCTTTCCATGAAAGCGTTGGAGTGATCTCATACTTGCAGAAGCGTCTTGAGTTTCTTCGAGACCTTTCTCAAAGGAAGACAAGGGGTTTAACTGAAAGAGAAAGGAAAGAAGTGGAGAGGGCTTTAAAGAACATCAGGGTCTTTGTTTGCCACAGAGAAACTGTTCAGAGATACCGGGTTTTTGGCTTAACCGAGGAAGCCACTGAAAATCTTTGGTTTGCAGATAGGGATGGGAAGAATTTGAGGCTGGTGACTTACTTCAAGGATCACTATAACTATGATATACAGTTCAGGAATTTGCCATGTTTGCAGATTAGTAGGAGTAAACCATGTTATCTTCCAATGGAGCTATGTATGATCTGTGAAGGCCAGAAGTTTCTTGGGAAGCTGTCAGATGATCAGACTGCAAGGATACTTAAAATGGGCTGCCAACGACCAAAAGAACGAAAAGCGATTATAGATGGAGTCATGAGAGGTCCTGTTGGACCAACAAGGTAATTTTTCAACTTCTAAAAAAGTTCTGATGGAAATTTGTTGTGAATTGCCTTGAAGGTTGAGTAATACTATCTTAGTTTCTGTTCTTGAAAGTATCCCAATTTGCTCTGTAATTAACTTTAGATGTTCATTTTTTTTCTGTTTCTGTACAGTGGCATTCAGGAAAGAGAATTCAAACTCCATGTTTCAAGAGAAATGACGCGATTGAAAGGAAGAGTTCTTCAACCTCCAAAGCTAAAGCTTGGAGATGGTGGACATGTAAGAGACCTAATTCCGTCTCGTCATGATCGCCAGTGGAATCTTCTGGGCAGCCATGTGTTTGAAGGTACTCGAATCGAGAGGTGGGCATTGATTAGTTTTGGTGGAACCCCTGATCAGAAGAACAGCATTCCAAAATTCGTACACCAGCTATCTCAAAGATGTGAACAGTTGGGCATCTTTCTCAATAAAAACACAATTATTAGTCCCCAATTTGAACCATCCCAAGTCCTTAACAATGTGTCTCTTTTAGAATCTAAGCTTAAACGAATCCAAAGAGCTGCATCAAACAATCTGCAGCTGCTTATATGTGTAATGGAAAGAAAGCACAAAGGCTATGCAGACCTCAAGCGAATTGCGGATACGAGTGTTGGGGTTTTAAGCCAATGCTGCTTGTACTCAAACATTGACAAGTTGGGTTCACAGTTTTTGGCAAATCTGGCTCTCAAGATCAATGCAAAAGTTGGAGGATGCACAGTTTCTTTGTACAATTCCTTGCCATCTCAAATCCCCCGGCTACTTCAAACTGATGAGCCAGTGATCTTTATGGGTGCAGATGTGACTCATCCACACCCACTCGATGATTTTAGTCCTTCTGTTGCTGCTGTGGTTGGTAGCATGAATTGGCCAGCAGCAAACAAGTATGTTTCAAGAATGAGGTCTCAGACACATAGACAAGAAATCATCCAGGATCTTGGTACAATGACAGAAGAATTGTTGGATGAGTTTTACCAGGAAGTCGGCAAGCTCCCAAAGAGAATAGTTTTCTTTAGAGACGGGGTAAGTGAAACGCAATTTTATAAAGTGCTTCAAGAGGAGTTGCAAGCCATTAAAGGTGCATGCTCAAAATTTCCTGGTTATGCACCTCCTATAACATTTGCAGTGGTTCAGAAGAGGCATCACACAAGGTTGTTTCCTTTCAAAATTGATCCATCTTCCAGGCAGAACCAGTTACTGGACGAAAACATTCCCCCGGGAACTGTTGTGGATACTGTGATCACTCATCCAAAAGAGTTTGACTTCTATCTTTGTAGTCATTGGGGTGTTAAGGGAACAAGTAGGCCAACCCATTACCACATATTGTGGGATGAAAACCAGTTCACTTCAGACGAACTACAGAAACTGGTTAACATTCTTTGCTACACATATGTAAGGTGCACCAAGCCAGTTTCTCTGGTGCCTCCGGCTTACTATGCTCACTTGGCTGCATATAGAGGTAGGCTTTACCTTGACAGATCAGAGTCCACAGCTTACACCAGAAGTGGTTGCACACTCTCCCGAGCTGGCCCTCCAAAGGAAATGGAACTACCAAAACTTAGTGAGAATGTAAGGAAACTCATGTTTTACTGCTGAATTTTAATTCCTTTAACCTCCTTGCATGGCAGTTAATTCATTGGTTTATATAGGAAGGCCACATAGATTATGTTAGTCCAATGTAACAGAACACAAGCTGATCCATTGCCTATGCTACTTCCCACCTATGATTAATTTGCAGGCCCTCCTTTGACACTGTCAAAGTTTGATGAAACATAACTCATGTTCCCAACAAACACATTATGTTTAAACAATATAACTTAACTACAACAATTGTTACATTTTGTATCATTAATTTCTTGATTAATCAGTTTATTGCTGGGGAGACAGAAAAGAAGAAAGGGAGGATCTACTGGCACTCTTCACCTGTGACATTGACTTTTTCAGTGTAATTACATGTAGACATAGCTATTTACCATGCATGCAGGTATGCAAGGGCAAGAAGAATAGAAAGGGAAAAGCAAAATACTTGAACAAAAGAAAAGATGCATTTTTTATGTGGCCCCCAATAGATGGTACACACTCAACTCACCTAACCACTCACTGAAAATCTGAAGCAATGCCAGCCCAATTGAGCGAATAATACACAGACAGACAGAGCCTAGCTCAGACACAGAGAGAGAGAGAGGAGAGAGAGGAGAGAGATGTAGAGGAGGGAGGAAGAAAACAAAAGCCTAGAAAGGATGGGATTTAAAGTAAAGGCAGTCCAAGTCTGACTTTGGACTTCCCCTTTTGTCTCTTCAGCTTTGCAAGGCCTTTTTCCCACCATTAATTTCTCCATTGCTTTTTTCCCCTCACTTCGTGTCTCTCTCTTGCATCAAACTTCTTCAGAGACAAATACTTTAAAGTACTGCACGGCCACGAGAAGATACAGAAGGACAGAGACACAACGTGGGTTTTGGCAGGGTGTGGTAGGGGCCAATGTACCCTCTACTCTCTCTACCTCTCTAGAGTCTATAGATAGATGGAGATGTCATATGTATCACTTGTCCCCACTTTTCAACTTAACCAAGTTCTCTGTTGGCATGGTGAAACTGCAAGCCTGCACAAAATAAGCATCTTTGAGTCATTGTAGTGTAGTGCTGTAGAAAATCCATACTTTTCTTAGCCAAAAAATAAATAAAATAATTCCATTCTCTTTTTTAAGTGTTTAGGAAAACATGTGAGATTAAATCGTGGAAAATAAATCACGAACAAATACGAAAACAGATGAAAGATGTTGCTTAAAGTTGTTATCTTCGTGATGGGATATGTCTGCAGGCGAAAAAGATATAGCCTTTGGGTAACAGAGTGTAGGATGATGAATAGGATTATTGATGTCGGTGATGCAACCTTTTTTATTTTGGATTCTCTCCTTTTACCCCAAGTTGCAGTGCAGGCTATTGACTGGTGAGGTGACAAGAAAAGGCATCTCCGTTTATTTTTTTTGGGCACAAACCAGACGAATTTTTCAGGCGGCATCCAGAGCCAGCTCAAGTCTCTGACCGTTTTAACTGGAACAAATACTTTTTTCCCCATTGATGTGATTGCTTAAAGATTGTGAAAACTGTACCCCCAAAAAACCAAAAACTTCTGAATGTGATATTGGTTTGTGTGTGTTTCTAATTTTCTATTCATTATGGCATAATCTTGAATTCAAGCTCGGCCCACTGTAGATATCCACATGCCACATGAGAGGTCATTTGAAGGTACAGAAACCCTTTGGATTGCGAAGTTTGAGTTTTTGTGCTGTTGATATGGGTTGGGCCAACTTTACGAATTGCTAGATACCGCGTGTAATGGAGTAATAAATGACATGTGAATTGAAGCCCAAGAAACAACCCAAGGAAAATGCTCTCCTCATTGAAACATGACATGGTTTAATAAGGTAGCTTAAGCATCATCTTGTTTACATTAGTTGATGGTCAAGCATTTCTAGCAGTCTTTGATTTACTTGCAAGTCATACGACATAGAAGTATAAGTTGTTGATGTCAAAAAATTCGCTCCGGGGCACGTTTCTCTGCTGGAAGCTGGAGTAATTCTCGAATCCCTTCGCATACCTGAAAGCAATGTGTAATATTTTTGTTTTCATAACCCAGAAAAGTAAAAGCGTAATATACTTGTTCAACTACATCAAGGTACAGCACTTTCTGTAGCATAGTTGCGTAATCTACAAAGAATTTGTATACTCAAAAGCTCAGAAAGAGGGAGAAAAAAAGGCTCAATCCTTGCGTTATCTAATGTCTGCGCCTTCTAGTTTCTATCTTGGAAGCAAATAATATTTGAGTTATTAGGAACACCTATAGTAGTATGAAGGCAGAGAAAATATCCTTCCAAAATAAGATAATTTGAAGAGTGTTAAACAATTTCCACTTCTGCAACCTTGTCAACATTTAAAAAAATGAAATAATCAAATAGAAAGCATCAATGGAAGTGAACATACCAGCTTTATCTGGGCTTTGATTGATGCAATAAGGTTAGTATACTCTTCAATTTGCCTACAGAGAGGAATTTGATACGTTAAGTTTGGGCAATACTTGAAAAAAGAAGATTGAAGGTACCAAAACAGGGCAGAGGGAGAATTTGAACAAATCTTGTAGGATAACTCCCAAAAATCTAGTAGATTTCAACGAGTTTGATTATGTTTCTATCCTCTACAAGGCATCCTACTATAATAAAATCTTCCAAGAAAACCAACTTCGAAAAATTATAAACAAAAGCTTGTACCTGGCTATCTTTTCTTCTCTTTGAGATATGTAATTTAAAGCTTCCGACCAGGTGAACTCCACATGAAATCCTAGTCCAATGTCTACAAATATGCGTCGTGTATCCGGCCTGCAGACATGCAGAAGAAAGAAAAGGTAAGACACCATTGATATCAAAGATGAAACAAAACCAGGATTAATAGCAATTCGAACACAACTGTAAACAGAAAATTGTAACATGTAACAATTCTAATACAAAAGTCCATTGCATGATTCTGTAATTAGCCCCATGGACCAGTGACTAAGAGCAACAAAGTGAACAACGAGTACCATAAAAGAAGTTCAATGAAGAGTGAGAGCACACAAAAGGGAAAAAAATCATAAGACTTACACATCAGCTTGCATATAGACTTCAGAGCCAAGGTTAACCAAAGTCCTAAGACTGGTTACACTATTTTTCTCCAAATTCTCAATGTTGTTCCGCAAATCCGAGCTAACAAAAGTCAAGTCAACACTTTTAACAAGCAAAGATCATCAAACGGGGTTGCAAAATTCACCGCATTCGATATTCCGATTGATCCATTAGGTTAAATTAATCAAAATTAAAAAGGGGAATATAAGGAAAAGCGAAAAGGATACAAAACTTTTTGTTGCTCGAACACCTTGTCCCTGCAAAACAAGAAACAGAAAAAAGCTATCAAAATAAGCTACAACTTCAGGGTACCAGTTCTTCAAGCAACTTGAAAAGCAACTAAGAAACCCTAACGGAGCATGAGAGCAAACTCAAGCTTATGCATTTACTGCTCTGCTCGAGCTGGGTAATGCTCACATAACAAAACCCTAGGAAAACGGCTTCCGGGAAAGCAGAGGTCGGAGGTGTATTAAAACGGTACCGTTGAGCAATGGCGCGAACAAGGTCTGGTTTGAGGCGTCCATCCACGAATTCCTCGTATTTCTGTATTTTGTGTTGGAGGTGGCTCTCCATGAGTCCCAAGTCAAAAATTCAAGAATATTTCCGCGATTGTGTTTTTCTTTTTCTTCTTATAAATTTTATATTTACTTTTTGTCTTAATCTCAGCCGTCGGTGGCATCCACCCAACGGATGATTAACTTTATTAGCTTTTTCAACGACGTCGTATTACTCTTAGAAAACGCTAGAAGCGTGTAACAATTCTCGTGGACCCAATTTTCAAATGTTTTTTTTCGTTCGGGCCAATTTGAATGGGCTTACTAGCTTACCGGGGCATAGGCCCAATTATGTCTTCTGGGGCTCAAATCACAGAGAGAGAGAGAGAGAGAGAGAGAGAGAGAGAGGGGAAATTTAATTTTGATAAATGGCTTGACTACATGTATTAATGACACTAGTCGGGCACAGTGTGGGAGAAAAAAAATATATAGGCTATTAATTGAACTATGGATTTGTAAATTCATTTTTGAAGCAAATTGACACTTTTACATCAATTCTTTGCAATTACCAGACCTTCAGATACCTCTCTCATTCTTCATCCTTCCTTCCATCTCCCTCAAGAAGTAAAAGTTTGCACTCAGATGAAGCATATGTCAACTAGCTGAAATGCACTTGAGGTTACCTCCTGCCATGAACCCTTGCCTTGAAAGTTCTACCAAGGCACAAGTTTGCACTGTTTGATCAGGTGGTACCACGAACCGGCAACGAAATCCTAATTTTTTGTATAGGAGCTCCCATCTTCATAATTATTGAATAAAAAGGTTGTGCTGGTGGTAATTATGGTGTCATTGAATACCAACTGATTCAGCAGAAAAGTTTATGGTTTCCAAAATTGAATGAGACTCGCTGTCTAAACATGTTTCCATCTTAAAAGATCTGCAGCTGAAGTAGAAAACAGCACTCATCATGGAGTCGATGAGCACCACGAACGAATACATGATCACCAAAAGAGGACCTTCCCATATGCGAGAAGACCCATCTCCGTAGCTCAACGTCTTCACTCTGTGCTCAAACAGCCCCTCAACAAATGCCATTCCGATTGTTGATCCAAGAAATATCAGAAGACCCACCTGAGTCTGGCCCTTGATTAAAACCCCAGACTGAACCAATGCCTCTGGTCCTGAGACATCCTCCAACACAGAGATCACAATAGCAATGTTGCAAATAATAATAGCATTGGCAAAAATAACCGAGAAGATGAGGCCAACCGCCATTGCAGCATATACAATATGAGGAGGTGACAACCCAAATATGGAACATGTATTGCACACAGCAAGAAGAAGAATAAAAAACAAGATGAGGCAACCCACCACCACCATACACATCCACACATACGTCGAAAGAAGCCGCCTCCATATTTTGCACATAATTAAGTAAAACTGGGATACATCAAACTTCTTCAGGGAGTAACTACAATACACAGAGTAAACCACGGCGGCTTTCGACAACAATGACAATGTGATGTACAGAGGAAAGCACATAGTGGATGAGATAGCCATCTCAGCAAACCTCTGGCAAGAATGACTGATAAAATCCCTCAAAGGGAGGCCACTGGACTTGGCAATTAACAACATCCTAATGGTTAGTCTCTTTACAAGTGACTGATCAACTAGCAAATTCGACAAAAGCAAGGCAGACAAAGGGCAAATTAGCAAGGCGGCAATGCCCAAAAAGCCCCACGAATTGTACCGGAGAATTCTCACAGTTTCCCTCAAAATCTCCAGAGCATTCATTGGATGGAACCTATGATCGTTACCAGGAGGTTCTAACTCAAATCTCAACAAATGGGTTTCTTCGGATCCCTCTTTCTTTGAATGATCCAATCTCATTCTTGGGGAATTTTCAGTATAAGCTTCCATTTCTCGTTGTTTCTTGAATCAATCTCTCATACCAATTCAACAAATTATGACATCTATATATATTATATGTATATATGTGATGAGAATGAAAGATCTAACAGAGCTAGATTTAACTCTAGAGTGATAGCTGAGAAGGCAGATTTACATGGAAAAGCTTTAACAGCAGTATAGGTGATGTACAAAAGCGAGAATCAGATCTGGGCAGTAACGAAATTGAGACGGTGCAGTACCTTCAAAGCTGGAACCCACATTGGGGACGATGATCCAGAGGCGTTTCGCGAAGCTTCTGCGTGGGATTGGAGGAAGAAGAAGAAGGCGTTGAGAGAAGCTCTGACTCTCATGGAGATATGGAAGGTCTCTTTCTTTGTGTTTGTGAAACGTGCGAGGTGGCTTTTGGGCTTCTTCTGCGCGTCGGTGTGTTTAACTTGGTCGGGCTTTTATATCGGACGGTGTGGAGCTGCCAGCTTCACTGCCTGAGGTATCTAAAACGGTGACTTGTGCATTAATTTTGTTTTTTTTTTTTTACACAAAAGTAGTTTATTTAGTTTAATATTTGTAATTAAGTAATATTTTAGTTTTATTTAATTAGTAATTATATTTTAATTAATTTCATAAATTACTTAATAAATCATAATTAATTATATTTAATTATTGTAAATTATTTTGTGGACTTTAAAATTAGTTTTCATTTTTGAAATTATTTTAAAAATAATTTATGGCCTGTTTGATAACCATTTCAATTTTTGTTTAATTTTGTGTGCTAGAGTATAGAAGAAAAATAGGGGAAATGGAAGTGAGAATAAGAGTGGATATGAGATTGAGAGGGAAGATGTGATGGGAAGATCCGGAGATGGGGGGAGGAGTAACAAAAGTGAAAACAAAAATTAAAAATTGAAATATATTTGAAATTCTTTTCACTTTCAAGTTTTTGTTTTCACTTTTGTTACTTCTCCCTCCCATCAGCCCTTCTCATCATTTCTCTCAATCTCACTTTCATTTTCCTCTATACTCTAGCACAAAAAATGAAAACTAAAAACTAAAATTGAAATACTTATCAAACGGGCCCTTAAATTATTTAAAAATCCTAGAAAATTATTTTAGTATTCTGAAAATGGATTACGAACCCTAAATCTAAGTCTTGAACCAAAAAAACCTAGCTTCCGAACTTATCTGAACTTGTTCCAAAACCGTTGGCAAGCCTCAAACTTGTTTCACTCTATAATATCAGCTTATTAACAAATGCAGCCTATAGTTGAACTAATACCATTTGTAGTTGCACTCGCATAGTTTAAGTAGGTATTACAACCCTAATCAAGTGTTGGATTAGTGTTGGATTGAATGCTCTAATCATGAACATAATATTAACCAAATTTAAGCTAAATCCAATACAAGCAACTATCCAATCAAGAAGGTTCAAACATTTTCAGCAGCCACTTCAGTTCCTCTGCGTAGCTCTTCTCCTCTTCTCCAGCTTTTGCAAAGGTAAGTATCTTTTCAATTTTTTTTTCCCTTTGTTTTCAAATTCTTTTATTTATGTTCTCTATCTCTATTTTCTTTTCTTATCTCCCTCTTCACAATAGTAGAAGAGTTAGATTTGGTGGTGAGGTGAAGATGATTTCTTCTGTTTTTTTATAAGAGAAACACAACAAGAAGGACGATTCTTTCTTGCAAATCGTGACCAAGAAGGACGATTCCTTCTTGCAAACTCATGTTAGGCTTCACAGATTTTTAATTTTGTTTCTCTGTTTTGATGTGTTTTTTGTGTGTGGGTATTTTGTATGATTGTATCTGTTTGGAGCTTTTTTTATTTTTAATAAAAGTCTTGTTATTAGTTGTTGAGTATATTTGAATTTGTTTTATTAATTGGGTATTAGACTATTAGACATAATGAATGTGCACCATGTTTTATTTTGTTTCTCTATTTTGATGTGTTTTGTATCTTTGTATGATTTTATCTGTATTTGGTTTTTTATTTTAAATAAAAGTCTTGTTACTTAGTTGTGGAGTATATTTGAATTTGGTTTATTAATTGGTACTATTAGACATAGTGAATGTGAAGTTGAACCATGCCGAATTTTTTAAGGGAAAGATGAGTTACTCTAATGCTAACTCTAGTGGGGATTCCTCTCATGCTTAATCAATTGATGATAGTGCTCCACTGTGGACGTATGTTACAAAGGTTGAATCAAGTAAGAAAACTGGAGGAAACGTTAGTTTCAAGTGTCATTATTGTCAAAGCATGTTTCAAGGTTCATATTCTAGGGTGAAACATCATTTGTTGAAAATCAAAGGAGGTGGGATTAGACCTTGCAACAAAGTTACACAAAGTAATGTATTGGAAATGAAACGCTTGGTAGATGATGTGGAGTTGAAAATAAAAAATGTCCAAGCTATAAGAACTGTTTCTTTGCCCACATCAAGCAATGAAGGTTCTTCGAGTGCTAGTGCTTTTGATTTGGATTTTGGCATGAATGAAGAAGTTTTGAAACCAAAGAAAAGGAAGGGAGTTAGCAGGGACGGACCCAGGATTTCAAACTTGATTGGGCTAAATTTACCTTACATATAAACATACTAAGTAGATAGAAAACTACAGTTAAAAAATTTCTTCTTTTTTTCTTTCTTTTTTTCCACAGGCTGTGTGCATTCCCTTTTTTTTTTTCTCTCCTATGTGCTGTTGCTATAGGCTGCAGCTTTCCCTTTTATTCCCCACATGCAAGCAGTGTAAGCAAAGGATTCCTAAGAAGGGTAGAATTAGGATATTCACTTGGATGGCTGGCTGGGCTATAAAAAAATTTTGGGTTGGGGTTTTAAAAGCCACCTGGGCTGTAGGCCAGGTTAGCCAAAGCCAAGTACCGTCCCTGGGAGTTAGTGGACCTCTTGAAAAAGCCTTCCAAAACAATGCAAGGGAGCAATTGGATAGTGTAATAGCAAGGATGATGAACATGAGTTATTTATTAATTTTTATGGAATTATGTGACATTGAAATATTGAGAATTAATTAATTATTATTTTAATTACCATGTCCTAGCCGTGTCTGTGTCCTACTTTTTTGAGATTTTCCGTGTCGCCGTGTCGCCGTGTCGCGTTCCCGTGTCCCCGTACCCGTGTCCGTGCAACATAGGTTCAACCATTACTTAAAAGAGACTCAGGCAAAAAATGAGCAAGTAATGTAAGTAGCCAATGATGAGATTCCTTAGGTCATACTGTTGATGTAT